CCTAAGCGACCCCAGGAGGGAGACAGAGAAGGAAGGGACGGGAGTCGGGGCCGTGCAACTCCCCTCAGGAGCTGAGTACTGTAGACCTGCCATGGCTCAGCCACAGGGACACAGCCGCGATGTCTCGCTCAGTCAACTGAAGTGTCTTCCTATTATTTGTCTTAGTTACTTTCTCGATGCTGAGACCACATACCCGATACCCAAAGTAAAAGGGGCAAAGGTTTGTTTGGCTCACAGTTCGCAGACGTTTTGGTTCGTAATCAGCTGGCTCCAAGGCGGGGTGGCAGAGGGGCAGCAATTCATGGCAGACAGACAGTAGCAAAGCAAGAAAACACCTTAACAGGGCCTTTCGGCCCCTGTTATCTTATTCAGACTACTTAGGGCGGGTAGCACTCACACCTTTAACCCTAGTGCCCTCGGGCCTAGCCTTGCGCGAGAATCAATCGATTCCGCCACTTCCGATGAAGCCCCGCCTAAACCTGCATGAGGCTTTGGGGCCGGGGTGGGGCGGGGGAATCTAAACACAAGCCATAACATTATTATTATCTTTGTTGTTGTTGTTATTTTAAGTTTCCCAGCCCCAGAACATAAAACCTCCCGTTTTTCCACTGGGACTTAGCTTAGGAGTAGCTGGGGGGTTGTTTTTTTTAAACTGCAAGACCAGCTCGTTCTCACTTTCTACATCCTGCCTCTTATTCCTGGCAGTTCTCCAAGGATTTAGGGATGGTCTTTCTCTTGTACTCATTTTGATGCTGTGGGGTGCAAGTTAACTTTTCACATAGTTTTGCTCAAGAGTAGCCCACCCAGCTCGAATCTTGAGTAACTCGGTGTCACCGCTCCCCACCCTTTTGCTTTTTATATAACCACAGCATAGTATCAAGGTCAGGAAAATAATATTGACTTGATGCTATTATATAATCCACAGACCTTATTCAAACATCAGCAGTACTCTCATTAGAGTCATTTACAGAAGAAGGAAAACTAAGTCACTAAGCCCCCCCATCAGGAATCAAATTCAGAACCTTGTGCTTGCCAGGCAGGTATGGTGCCACTGAGCTACATCCTTGGCCCTGTCAATAAGTTTCTCATCCAAGATTCAATTCTGGATCACATGTTGCATTTCATGGTCTTGGAACAGTTCTTCAGTCTTTGCCATTTTTTCGTTGTTTTTGGTACCCAGGATGGAACTTGGACCTTGCACTTTCAAGGCAGGAGGTGGCACCTCTGAATTAAATCCCAGCCCTGCCATTTTTTTTTTTTTTTTGTACCAGGGATTGAACTCGGGACCCTGCACTTGCAAGGCAGGCAGCAGAACTACTGAGCTAAATCCCCAGCCCCCCCATTTTTTTTAATACGGGGTCCTACTGTGTTTTTAGGCTGGCCTCAAATAATCCTCCTGCCTCACCCTGGGCTCAAGCCATCCTCTTGCCTCAGCCTGGTAAATACTGAGTTTCTTCACTACAAATTTACCACTTTTCTCTTTGTAATAATTGAACACATTTTAGGGAAATACTCTGAAACCATACAACACAGTTTTTTACCACACTATGAATTTTAGCAAATAACTAGGCAAGCTCTGAGTTGCACCCCCAGCCCATTAAATAAATTTATGTATTTCTTTCTTTCTTTCTTTTTTTTTTTTTTTCCCCCCGGTACCGGGGATGGAACTCGGGGATCGAACTCGGGACCTTATGCTTAGTGAGGCAGGCGCCGGAACCACTGAGCTAAATCCCCAGCCCTATGTATTTATTTCAGTACTGGGATTGGACTTAGGACCTCCGCACTGAGCTCCATACACAGAGGCCCCCACCCTTGTTTGCAAACAGGGTCTCACTAAGTCGCCTAGGCTAGGCTTGAACTTTGATCCTTTTGCCTCAGCCTCCCAGAGTGCTGGGATTCAAGGCCTGTGCCACCAGGCCTTGTCTTTTCTATTCTTAAATCTTGAGACAGAATCTCACTATATTGTGCAGGCTGGTCTTGAAATTGCAATCTTCCTGCCTCAGCTTCCACAGTAAGTGGGATTACAGCTGTGTACCATTACATTTGGCAATGATACTTAGTTTTTTTTTTGGTACCGGGAATGGAACTCGGGACCTTGCGCTTACCGGGCAGGCAGCAGCACTACTGAGCTACTGAGCTAAATCCTCGGTCCCTGATATTTAGTTTTAATAATTTTGATTGTTACATGTAACACATATAAAGTAAAAAAAAAAAGTATGAAATTATGAATTGTAAAAGTAGATCTGTATAATGACCCTGGCAATAAAAGCAGAACATTTCTGAATACTTCACCTGCCTGTTGCTGATCTACAACCCTTCTCCTCTAAACCTCCCCTCACCATTAGCTTTGACTTTTATTGTAATCTTATCATTAAAAATTCTAGGTCAGGCGTGGTGGTGCACCCCTTGCAATCCCAGCACTCAGGAGGCTGAGGCAGGAGGATTGCTGTGAATTTGAGGCCAGTTAGGTTTACATAGTGAGTTCAAGGCCAGCCTTGAATACATAGTGAGACCCAGTCTCAAACAAAACACAAAATGTGAGAAATAGGGCCAGGGATTTAGCTCAGTGGTTTCGCTGCCTGCTGCACAAGCGCAAGGACCCGAGTTTGATCCCCGGTACCAAAAAAAAAAAAAAAGAGAGAAATTCTAGATATGCATCTTTAAAGTTTAGTTTTGTCTTATTGAAAAACTGTTCTTCTTGCACTAAAATCTATGTAACAGAAATGTTACTATTATGACCATTTTTGTTTCTTGTTTTTGTGGTGCACAAACTGGATCAAACTCAGGGCTTCAGGCTTATTAGGCAAGTCCTGTACCTACCACTCAACTTCATTTGAAGCCCCTCATTGTAGCCATTTGTGTGTGTGTGTGTGTGTGTGTGTGTGTGTGTGTGTGTGTGTGTGTGTGGCACTGGGGATTGAACCAAGGGCCTTCACACTTTTCTTTGGTCTTTTTATTATTTATTCATTTGTCTATTTATATTTTTGAAATAGGATCTTGCTATGTAGTCCAGGCTGCCCTTTAACTTGCAGGGATCTTCTTGCCTCAGCCTTGTGAGTGCTTGGATCACAGGCATGAACCACCAGGCATGGCTGTCATTTTTGGGTTTTTTTTTTTTTTTTTGGTACCGGGGATCGAACTGGGGTCCTCAGCTTGCGAGGCAGGCACCAGAACCACTGAGCTAAATCCCTGGCCCAATGGCTGCCATTATTTTTTTTTTTACATTCTTGACTTATTTAGTAAAGGGAATGGTTCAAGATAATTTATTTATCTATTTTTAGTCATGTTCATTAAGGTTTAATTTACCTTTTTTATACTTTTATGACCTTTGACAAACACATACAGTTGTTTGTCAAATTATCAGGAAGGACTATTTACTTATGTCTCAGGAAGCAATGCAATGGTACCTTGGTGAAGAAGAGCAAAAAATGATTAATTTGGGGGGATTTTTATGGGAATCAAGGTCACAGTTTGCTTATAGCAGGACCTGGTTGTTTGTGCCCTCTCAAATAGAGCAAATTAACTCACTCCATTCCCTAATACAGTTAATATTGACCTGACCTCATCCTTTAGGATGACATTTATTTGGTCTCTGGTCTTCTGCAATATCAGGAGTGAAGAAAAAGGGGAATCAATTATAAATGATTTTTAAAAGTGAGTTATGTTTCTGTGGTTTATTTCATTTTTGCTCCATCAACAAAACATTCTAGAGATCTTAATTAGCAATAATAGATCCTAGATTTCAATTTTACTTCCAAATCCGTGCTTTTATTCCCATAAGTGACATATACTCAGAAAATGTTTTGATTTTGGGTTGGAAAATATGATCATTGTTAGGTATAGCACAGAGAGAAGATTAGCTTATTTCAAGTGTAGAATTGGGGATTTATAGAAATGTTGAATCATGGTGGATCTGTGACTACATAACTGAGCCTCAGGTAGAGAGAGAACTATCTCATATTGAATGGCTGAATGCCTATTATATATCTACCCGGCATTGTGCTCAGTGCTTTTCCTACTGACAGCTGCTCTGGCTACGATTCTCTCCTAGATCCAACCACCATTTAAATCAAAACAACAAAAACATCAACAGAAAACAAACACGTAAGTCTCACGGGGCCTAGTTTATTAATAGTTGTCACTGCTGCCACACCCTCTAGAAGACCCTGGCACCATAATTAGGATAATGGAATTTCAGGGCTTTGAGGTCATGAGTTAGAAGGGCAATTGCTCTTCTTTTTACTACTGTGTGAGTGTCACAGTGCTCAGTTCTCTCAACGCGAGGTGCAAACCCCATCTGAGACTGTCTCCAGCCTGCAATCTCAGAAAGAAAAGACAACGATAAATGTGAAGCTTGAAATACCTTCCAGCCTTCCAGACCAGAAAGGGCAATGGGAAGAAACATGGCTTACAGGAACCTCAGACAATGTAAACAATAACCAAACCAAACCAAACCCCAACCAACAACAATAAACGAGTAACTGGTGGAGATCTGAGGCAAGAAGGTTCAGACCTCTTGAATTCAGAAGAGGTCCACAAAAGGGATCCCGGTTAGTCCAGGTAAACCTCAAAGAATTTTCTTTCTCCCATTTCACCAGCTCTGAGGTCCTAGCTCTCCTGAATTCTCCTTTTCTTTGCCCTTTTATCAGAAAGCCGAGAAACTCTTCCACGGAAATAGAGTGAAGGAAGGGGGCTTAGGTGAATGGACGATAGCAGGTAGAGTCTCAAATACGAGTGCTGGTAAATACATCCGTGCTGGAGGCAGAGGTACATCTTGTGCCCTCTCAAGGTCCCCGAGGTTCACGGATACTGTCATTCTTCGGCTGTCTAGGGGGAGGGCCTGCACCGTCCATGCTGCCATGGAAACGCGCCGCCGAGTTCCTTTTTCTTACGTGGGCGGGGCCTTCCCCCTCAGCCACCTATCGTACACAGAGTTTCTTGAGTGGCGCGCAGCAGCAGCGAATGGGTGACCTGATATTGCGTGACGCGACGGGAAAAGGGGGAGCTCGCAGCCGGTGGCGGCGGCGGCGACATCGGCGACCGGGGGATCGAGCTGGAGGGACCTGGGGAGCGTGTCGAGACCTCTAGCTCTAGCGTGAGGGACCCCACGCCAGGATGCCTGGTACCACCTGGGGGAAATGGGGCGCAGCGGGCTCCGGAGGCGTTGGTCTGCAGTCCGGAGGGACGGCGGCCCGGAGGGGGCGGGGTGGCAAGCATGGCGGCAGTGCCGGGGAAGGGGCTGCAGGCCGAGAGGGGGTGGGGAGGCCCGGCTGGGAGCCGGCGGTCTGGAGGAACCGTGAGGGGCCTAGAGGCTTCCGTCGGAGAGCTCGCACAGCCTTTTGGGGGGCGGTGGAGACGTAGGGAGAGTTGCGGGGGGATGAAGAAAGGGGCGGGAGATGTTAGGGAGGAGGGGAGAGGGTAATGAGGAAGGCAGAGGGAGAAGGATAGGTAGGTTCGTAAGGAGTAACGGGGAAACGGGGGGGAGAGGGGGACTTGGGAGGTGTGATCAGAAAGTGCTCGCAGCGGTCGCAGAGAGAGTGCTCCAATCGGAGGATCCCTGGACTGGGCCCTTCTCAGCTCCTGTACTTCCGCCCCATTATTTAGGTTCTGATTGCGTGAGGAAGAATCGTAGGTTACACAGAGCTGATCTTTTGTTACTGCGTTCCAGGGGAGCAGATGGACCCTACTGGAAGTCAGTTGGATTCGGATTTCTCTCAGCAAGATACTCCTTGCCTGATAATTGAAGATTCTCAGCCTGAAAGCCAGGTTCTAGAAGATGATTCTGGTTCTCACTTCAGTGTGCTTTCCCGACACCTTCCGAATCTACAGCTGCACAGAGAAAACCCTGTATTGGTAAGTGATAACTTGTTTGAAAATGATCAAACAGATTTGAGTTTTCTAATGTGGACCAACCAGCAAAGATAAGTAGAGGATCAATTTTGGATATAGTTGGTTGGGACAATGAAATAATCACAGTCCCAAAAAAGTGTGTTTCATTTTGGAAGATTTTTATGTTGTGTGCCCATTATGTATGTATATTTTCTAGGATGCTGTGTCCAATCCTGAACAGACAACTGAACAGGGAGACCGGAATAGTGGGTTCAGTGAACATTTGAAGGAAAACAAGGCTGCAGGTGAGGCTTTTGGGTTTTTTGTTTGTTTTTTGAGGCAGGGTCTCACTGTTAGTTCAGACTGGCCTTCAACTCACTATGTAGCCCAGGCTGTCCTTGAACTTGCGGTGATCCTCTTGCCTCAGCCTCTTGAGTGCTGGGATTACAGGCATGTGCCACCCCGCCAGCAAGTGAGGTATTTAAAGATGTTCATTCCCTTTGCATTTTCATAGGTGCTGTTGGATAGGGGGAGGGCTTGAACATTGAAGGCCTGTGGTGAATGTATATACCTAGTAAGCATTCAAATTCATGATGTTGTAATGTGGCTGATTAGGTTGATAGTGTGGGTTCCTGAATTTGTATTAAAGTTTATTGGTAAGTGCCTCTCGTGCTAATATCCAATCGTTGTTTTTCAGACCCTATGGATTCTTCTCATTTGGATACATGTAGTTCCATCAGTCAGGTCATTGACCGGTTACCTCAGCCAAACAGGACAAGCAGGTATGCTGATATTTGAAGGAATTTCTATTTAAATTTACGTATTTATTTTGAGATGGTCTCCCTTTGTCTCAGGCTGGCCTTGAGCTCACTTTGTCACACAAGCTGGCCTCAAATTCTGGCGATCCTCCTGCCTCAGCCTCCCAAGTGCTGGGATTACAGGTGTGTGCCGCCATGCCTGGGTATTTAAATTTATTAACAGATCACCTCTTTTATTGGTACCTGTTGCCTCACGCCAAGGATAAAGGGACTAATTTTGTGTGAATTAAGAAATGAGATTTGAGAATTCTATAGATAGTATTGTGTTTAGTACTGTTAGCTAGAACCTCTTTTTTGAAGTTGATATATTTTATAGCTGCAGTATTTAAGTTGTCACCTATCTTGTGGATGTAAAACAAAGTAGGCATTCCTCATTGTTAGTAAAGATACAACTTTTAAGAAAAAAAAAAAATTAGATGTACTATTATTAAAACTTTTAAGCATGCCTACCAAAGTACTTCACCAGGTTAGATTCATACCCTAAACAGTAATCAGTTTTTACCATTTCTTGTGTACATTTTTACAGTATCCATTTTTTTCCAGGTCATCCTCTGTTAAACCCAATATTGGATGTTTGACATATTAACTTATTTAGTTCTATCCTTAAAGGACCTCTCCAGTGGAGACATTCTGTTACTTCCATCATCCAGAATAGTGGGGGAAACTAATGGGCAAAGAAGTTAAATACCTGTTCAGGAATACACTATTACTAAATCACAGAGCTGGACTTTGGATTTATTCCTTTTGACTCAAATGATTCCCCTTCTAATGATTCAGTGCTTCTTAGTCTTTGCCCCAGTTCGCTGAAGGTCAAAGAAAAACAGAGATAATTTTAGGAGCTGGGAGGTGTTGGGGTTGGGAGATGAAGCAGAATGTTAGCTTGAGATGGTTCAAGAATATTGTTTTATCTTAAAATTAGTGCTTTTCTCTGGTGTACCTTATACTCTATGCACAGATTTCTCCCACATCAAGTAAAGATGAATGCTTTAGAACAATCTGCAAACTGGTGGGCTCATTTTGGCCCATAGATGGGTTGTATTTGGCCCACATGTGGTAAAAGATACCTGAATTAATTGATAGAATTTAAAAATGGGGACATTTCTCCTCACACCTGGATTTGAGGCTTCTGGGATTCCCAGCCCTTCTCGGAAGCAGTTGGTGGGAGCTGTGAGTAGCACCTGCCCTCCCTCACATGAGGCATGAGGCAGAGAGCACTGTTTGATGCTGTCTGCAGCTCACTGTTGGGTGGACACCAGGACTGGGATTCTTTTGTCATTTATCATAATGCTTTTGCTTTTGTTCCCACACTCACGTCACTCACTTATGTTATCTTGCTTTGCTTTCTAGTACCTCTTTAGGAACGTGTACAGACTTAGCTGTGTTTTTATGGCTCAGACTCCTGATTTGAATAGGGGGACTGGAAGTATGCATACCCCATTTTTTTTTTTTTTTTTTTGGCACCGGGGATTGAACTCGGGACCTTGCGCTTGCGAGGCAGGCGCCAGAACCACTGAGGTAAATCCCCGGCCCCTGCATACCCCGTTTTGAATGAAGCACTGTTTGAGAAGTTCTGTGCTACTTCTTTTTTATTTTTTGTTTTTTTTTGAGACAGGGTTTCACTTTGTAGTTTTGGCTGGCTTTGAACTCATTGTGTAGTCCAGGCTGGTCTGAAACTCAGGGTGATCCTCCCACCTCAGTCTCCCAAGTTGCTGGGATTATAGTTTTCCTTTTCTGCATCAATGTAATTGAATGGCCATGTTTATTAAATATGCAGGCACTGCAGCATGTACTTTAAAGGGGCTTTATCATTAGTATCAGGGAGACTGATATTAATCAAGCCATTACAGCAGTAGCTGTGTGATCATCTAAGAGAAAAAAAAAATACCCTGATATGCGGGCTATGGGAGCAGCTCTTTGAGGACTGCAGTCCAACAATAACTGTGAATTTGCTGGACATAGTTGGAGGGCTGAGGAGCAGCTTGCATGGTGAGAGGAATGGCTTTCCTAACAGAGTGAACTGTGGAGTCGAGGCCTGGAAGCCAGAAGGAACTTGGGGGTGATCCTGGGTTTTTTTTGGTACCGGGGATTGAACTCAGGTCCTTGCACTTGCGCAGCAGGCAGCGAAACCACTGAGCTAAATCCCCGGCCCTTGAGGGTGATTCTAAAAGAGTGAAAGTTGGGCCGGGGATTTTAGCTCAGTGGTTCCAGTGCCTGCCTCGAGAGCCCAAGGTCCCGAGTTTGATCCCTGGTACAAAAAAACCCCCAAAAAAGCGCAAGTTCTCCACAACATATATGCCTGTGTTGTTTTTATTCATTAATTTAGCTATTTTGATAAAAATGGCTTCTTGGGAAACAGCCTATGTCATTAAATTCCAAAAAAAAAAAAAATCTTTGCCTTATCTAGTGTCCTGTTGATAAAAGCTGGCAGTGTTCTAAAATATGGAAAAAATACATTTTTATTTCATCACCAAACATTTTAAAAATTGAGATAATTATAGATTTCCCTTCTATTTTAAGAAATAATAGAGAGAGCTGGGTATGGTGGCACACACCTGTAATCCCAGCTACTCTGGAGGCTGAGGCAGGAGGATCGCAAATTAGAGGCCAGATTGAGCAATTTAGTAAGTCCTATCTCAAAATAAAAATCAAGAAAGGATGTAAGTGTGAGGCTGTGGGTTCTATCCTCAGTAGCAGCACCCCCATGAATAGATCCTCTGTATACTTTGTGTCCATTTTCCCCCAGTGGTAACATTTTTTTTTCTTTTTTTGGTACTGGGGATCAAACTTGGGTCCTTGCACTTGGGAGGCAGGTGGCGTAACCATTGAGCTAAATCCCCAGCCCCCAATGGTAACACTTTTTGAAATTGTGATATATATGTATATATATATATATATACACACACACACACACACACTTTTTTTGTCTTGTTTTTTTGAGGTAGGGTCTCACTATGTAGGTCAAGCTGGATTTGAAGTCACCCTGTAGCCCAGGATGGCCTTGAACTTAAAGAGATTTACCTGCCTAGGCCTCCCCCAGTGCTGGGATTACAGATGTTTGCAACCACACCCAGTTAAAACTTCTACAAACATTTGTACAAGTTTTTGTGTAGATGTAAGTCATTGTTTCTTTGGGACAGATGCCCAGATTTTCAGTTGCTGAGTTGTTATGGAATGTATTATTTGTTTTTTTGTATTTTGAGACAGGATCTTGCTATGTAGCTCAGGCCGGCCTTGAACTCACTGTGTAGCTCAGGCTGGCCTGGAATTCATGGCAATTCTCTTGCCTCTGTCTCCTGAGCCCTGGGATTACAGGTGTGCACCGCCATGCCCAGCTGTTGTGAGAATTATTGTAAATATCTATAAATTATCTGGAAAGGTCTATTTCTCTTTTCTTTTTTGTGGTACTGGAGATTGAATGTAGGGCCTTTGCACTGAGCTAGAACCCTACCTCTCTCTTTTTTTTTTTGGTACCAGGGATCGAACTCGGGTCCTTGCGCTTGTACAGCAGGCAGCAAAACCACTGAGCTAAATCCCCGGCCCCTGCCTCTCTTATTTTGAGAAGTTTTCACTAAGTTCCCCAGTTGAGAGTCAGATTTGGCATTCTCTTTCAATTTTTTTTTTTGACAGTTGAATTTAACATCAATACTTTTTTTTTCCTCTCATAATCTGATTTCTCTCATGCCTCTTCTGATTTACCTAATCATTCTACAAATATTTCATTCAGTTTTTCCTATTTGCCAAGCACTCTTGTGTTTTGGGGATACAAAGTGATCAGAAAGAAAATCCTGTACTTTAATGGTGCTCACATTCCTACATGGGATATAGTAATACATGATAAATGAAATATTATATGCAGCATGTTAGATACTAATAAGGTCCGAAAAGTAAAGCAGTAAGGGAACAGGAAGTATCAAGGAGTTAGGAGTTTATGTAGGATGGCTAGGGTATGCTTTTCTGATGAGACATTCAATTAAAACTGCAACCTGATGAAGTGATCAGTGTGGTTATCTGGGTAAGGGCAGTCTGTGCCTAGAGAACATGACTGCCTGGCAGATTTGGTAAATGATGAGGTTAGTGTGGCTGTAGCGGAGTGACCCAAAGGAGTGGGGGAAGAATGTGGAGAAATGAAAGGGGGACCAGTTCAAGGCGTTAGGGGTGATTGTGAGAAATACGGCTTTTGTTCTTTGTGAAATAGGAATGCATTTAAGGGTTTGGAGCCGAAGAATGACTCAGTTTGACTTAGATTTTTGACAGGATCACTCTTGCTGCTGGATCAAGAACAGACCTAAAAGGAGAAACAGGGTCAGAGCCAGGAGGGCCAACTAGGAGGTGATTGAAATGTCTTAGGGAAAATATGACAGTGTCTGGTTCATGGTGGAAGTGGGTAAAGAATGGTGAGATGCTGAGGGCTTTTTGCTGTATGGGGATTGACCCCTGAGGGGCTTCGCGCTGAGCTCTATCCTCAGGTCTTTTTGTTTGGAGACAGGGTCTTGCTAAGTTGCTAAATAGCCCAGGCCAGGCTCAGAATTTGTGATCCTCCTGCCTCATCCTCTCAGAGTGCTGGGATTGTAGGTGTGCATCACCACACCTGGCTGAGATTGAGTATTTGAAAGTAGGATTTAAAAATGGAGCAGGGCCGAGGATGTAGCTCAGCGGCACAGCACCTGCCTGGCAACCTCCAGGTCTTGAGCTCGATTCCTGGTACCCCCCCAAAAAGATGGAGCAGATGTGGAGTGTAGAGACAGGAAGGAGGTAGCAGTAATCCCAAATTTTTGGTCTGAGCAACTAGAATGGAGAGTCTGTTACTGAGATGAAGATTGCAGAAGGAACCGATCAGTTTTAGACTTGCTGAAATTGAGCTACCTTTTCAGCAGCCAGCTGGAGATGTTAACATGATTGGATATGCAAGTTTGGAGCTCAGGAGAGGTCCAGGCCGGCACATGGAGGGAGTCATAAGTATGTGCTTAGTGCTGCATTCAAAACAGAGTCTGGGTGAGATTTGAGGTGAGGAAGTGTAGCTGAAAAAGAGGTCCGGAGATCTGTGCCCACCAGCATTTAGAGGTCGGCCATGAGGAAGGCTGTTTATCAGAAGCTGAAAAGGCTCGGGTGTGTGGCTTTGTGTCGTTTCTTGCTTCTCCTCTAGTGCCTTTTGGGTTTTGTTTTTTTTTTTCTGGTACTGGACATTGAACTTGGGACCTTGTGCTTGTGCGGCAGGTGCTGGAGCCACTGAGGTAAATCCCTGGCCCTTGGTTTTTTTGTTTGTCTGTTTGTTTTTTGTTTTTGGCACTAGGGATCGAGGAATGAACTGGGGACCTTCCGCCTGTGAGGCAGGCAGTGGCACCACTGAGCTAAGTCCCCGGCCCCGGTCACATTTGCTCTTGGACCTTCTATCCCTCTCGGCCCGGGGCCAGGGTCGGGGGTGGGGTGGGGTGGTGGTGGCGGACGGGATACATAGGCCTAAATTTTATTTGGACACTTTGTTTCCAGGTATTCTAAGGTTTTTGTACTAAAATATTTTTTGTGAATTTTGTCCATATTAATAGATAGGATTTTTGCGCTCCTTCCCCGCTCATGCAGTGCACATTCTGTCATTTCTCAGTAATACTCTGTTTCATTTTGATGAGAATCTTTAATCCTTTTTCTCTTCTTTGGATCATGGGTCCCCAACTTTTCAAGTTTATGTTTTCACCTTTTTTATGCATAGTTATGCTTAATGCTGTTAGTATGGATTATTAAATATGTAGAAATTGCAAGGAAGCAAAAAAGGTCCCCTATAGTCCTGCCATGCGGAGGCTAATGACTATAAACATTTTGGTAAATTTTCCATTTTTTTACATTTGATATACATAATAGTCATCACTGGAAAATAAAAGTTTGTGTTTGTTGACACTTTTGTGTAACAGTGTGAACATTTTCCCATGTAAATTAAAGCAATAATTTTCTCTAACTAAATGTGTCAAGAAGTGATAAAAGGAGTATACGTGTGTACTGTATGTGTACTTGCTTTTGTGAGGGACTGAGTGGTTTGAAACTGACCTTATTGTGCCTCTTAGCATTCATCCCCTCGAATAAGTACATTATCCTGTGTTTCCATAGTGTCATTATCACACCTAATAATTCCATAATATCTAATAATACTGTTCATTTTCAGATTTTTGTAATTGTGTCAAAGATATCTTATGTTTTGTTTTATTTATTTGATCTAGGATCCAGTCTGGGTTCACACAGTGAATTTGATTGTTTCAAACATTTTAAATGGCAGCCTAAGATTTTATTTTATTAGCTGGGCGTGGTGGTGCACACTTGTAGGCAGGAGGATCACTGTGAGTTCAAGGCCAGCCTGGGCTACAAAGTGAATTCAAGGCCAGCCTGAACTACAAAGTGAGACCCTGTCTTCAATAAAAGAGAAAGATTTTAGATTTTATTTTGTAGATACGAAATTATTTAATCATTTTTCTAATACTGAACGTACACATTGCTAATTTTTATTTATTTTTCACATTGTTTATTAAGACAGTAAACTTATTAGTTTTAAGGTTCTTTCTGCATTTCAAATATCTCTTTGAAATTATTGGAATTACTAGATACCAGGACTTTTTAAGCTTTTCCTTTTCTTGGCAGTGACAGGAATTGGACCCAGTGCTAGGAGTCGAATGTGTGAGGTTGAACATTATACTACTTGCACATTCCCAGCTCTAAAGCTATTTAGATTTTTTTAAAAATAGTGCTGGGGATCCTGCCTAGGGCGTTGCTCGTACTAGGCCGAGTGCCCTACCACCAAGCTGCAGCCCCATCCCCTTTTTGAACTCTTTTTTTTTTTTTTTTGAACCAAACTCAGGACCTTGTACTTGCCAGGCAGGCTCAGTGCCACTGAGCTACATTCTCGGCCCTTTGAACTCTTTTTTTTGGTACCGGGGATCGAACTCGGGTCCTTGCACTTGCGTAGCAGGCAGTGAAACCACTGAGCTAAATCTCTGGCCCTTAAATTTTGGTTTTTTGAAACAAGGTCTCACTGTGTGGTTCAGGCTGGCCTTGAACTCATTATGTACATATCCCAGGCTGGCCTTGAACTGGCAATTCTCTTGTCTCAGTCTCCCAAGTGCTGGAATTATAGGTGTGCACCACCACACCTGGCTTATATGAGTTCTTTATATTTTATGTTATTCTTCTGTTTTTATTTTTCCTTTTTTTTTTTTTTTTTTTTTGCTACCTGGGATCAAATTTAGGACCTTGCACTCACGAGGCAGGCACGGTGGCACTGAGCTAAATCCCCAGCCCTATTTTTGTTTTTTGAGACAGACAGAGTTGCTGTGTAGTGTAGGCTGGCCTTGAACTCACTATGTAGCCCAGGCTGGCCGTGAACTTCCAGCAGTCCTCCTGCCTCAGCCTCCCAAGTTCTGGGATTACAGACGGGCGCCATCACACCTGGTTATTTTATCTTATTCTACTTTTTGTTATATTTATTACAGGTATTTTTTTCCTCTTTAATATTTTGTTTTTTAGTTTCATTATTTTTTTTGTTTTGTTTTGTTTTGGTTTTTTTTGGTACCGGGGTTCAAACTCAGGACCTTGTGCTTCCGAGGCAGGTGCAGTGCCACTGAGCTAAATCCCTGGCCCTCATGTTTTTTGACTGTGGTGTCAGTTTACTTTTAAATATGTAAGCTGGGCCAGGGACGTAGTTCAGTGGTGCTGTGCCTGCGTGGGAAGCACAAGGTCCTGAGTTCAGTTCTTGGTATGGAAAAACAAAACAAAACAAAACATAGGCCTAAATTTTATTTGGACACTTTGGTTCCATGTATTCTAAGGTTTTTTTTTTTTTTTTTGGTACCGGGGATCGAACTCGGATCCTTCCACTTGCAGGGCAGGCGGCGGAACCACTGAGCTAAATCCCCGGCCCTATTCTAAGGTTTTTGTACTAAAATATTTTTGCAAATTTTGTCCATATTAATAGATATGATTTTTGAGCTTCTTCTCTGCTCCAGCAGTGTACATTTTGTCATTTCTCAGTAATTCTTCAGAATGCAAGGTATTTCTATCGCTGGTCATAATAGTATCGATAAAATTTTAAGTATACTTGTGTCTTCTGCTTTATTTCTGTGTTACTTAATTCAGTACAGGTTTGGGTTGCTTCCCTTCTCAGTGGTTTCTGTAGAGAAGCACTCAAGGGTTGCTGTGAGGTAATTGCTGGGGGCGGGGGCTAGAGTAACATGCAGGGCTTTGAGCAGCATCCCAGTCTCCCTGGGAACACACTATGTGTCCTTCCACTGTGCAGTGTCCTGGGAATGTCCCTGGGATCTGTTCCTGTTGCGGGGGAAGAGAAGGAAGAGTCAGCAGAGCAGGAGCAAGAGGGAGTGGAAGAAGACACTTCAGAGGATACCACACACTCCCTGGGTGCTGAAGGTAGCCTGTGCCTTTTTCTGGACAGTAGATTCTTCTGCGTTCCTTTGACATGAGCATGCAGATGTTTAAGTTTCTCGTTATCAGGTTCTGATTTCTCATGATTAAATTGAGTCATTGAGAAATTTGCTTGTTATTTAAAATATTCCATCTAATTTGTCCAAGAACTTGTAGCTCATTGAATAGTTCCCTTCCTGCATATTGGCTCTTTCTCCTTTTATATTCATTTATTTTTTCAAAATTTTTTGGACTCTGAATAGCTTTTTGTGTGGGTATGGGTTATGGTATATCTTTTTTTTTTTGGCACCGGGGATCGAACTTGGGTCCTCACGCCTGTGAGGCAGGTGGCAGAACCACTGAGCTAAATCCCTGGCCCGTGGTGTGTCTTTGTGTAGACATAGTCTACTATATTGGATGCTTGTAAGAGTTTATGATACTCAAGGTTTTGCTCATTATACGTTTTTCTCTTTCATTTTTAAAGCATTTATTTTTTATTTTTCTTTTCCTTTTTTTGTGGTGCTGGGAATTGAACCTAGGGTCTTGTGTGACTCCTTTATTTTTTTTGAAGTATTTTTTGGGACGGGTTTTGATGTGACGAACTTAATGTGATCTTGTTTTGCTAAGGGACAGCAGCTTGCACCTTGACAGTATTATGGGATGATTCCTAATTTCTTGGAGTTTTGTCCTAGATCCTGCCTCATCACAGCTGGGCTTTGGGGTCCTAGAACTCTCTCAGAGTCAGGATGTTGAAGAACATATTGTGCCATATGAAGTAGACAAAGAACACCTACAGTTAATAACCACCACCTCTGGTTATACCAGGGTGTCCGATGTGGATGCAGATACTGGTATGAAGTGTTTTTCTCACTTTTGGAGTTATCTATGACGTTTTCTTCTCAGGTTGGAGCTAGTTATTTTTCCCTTGATAAGTTTTATAGCTAAGTTAATACAATCTTAAGTTGATACAGTAAATTTGCAGTTAGCTGGTAAATACTTGATGGCTTGCAGATTGAGATTTTCTGTAAGTAGATTATTGGTTGCTTTCCTTTTTGGAAAGTATATATTTGAATATTTTTTAAGTTGGACTTCTGTTAAAATCTTTACATTTTAAAAATCATTTGGGGGCTGGGGATTTAGCTCAGTGGCGCTGCACCTGCCTTGCAAGTGCAAGGTCCTGAGTTCGATCCTGGTACCAAAAAAAAATCATTTGAAGGGTTGGGAGTGTAGCTTAGTGGTAGAGTGCTTGTCCAGGATGCACTAGACTCTGGGTTTCATTCATCTCGGACTGCTTCTAGTACTTAAAAATGTCTCCCTTCTTGTCTTTTTTCCCTTCCTTTTGTTTTCTTCTGAAACTAAGCAGTTAAGCATGAAGAACAGTGCAGTGAAGATGTCCCTGTGACACCACAGCCAAGTAAAGCTGTGCGTGTGGTAGAAGAGCCAAGCCCAGCACTGGGAAGGTAAACTGTACTTTTCCTAAAAGGCCTTCATGGATTTTTGCTTATGCTAGGTGGATATGTTTTTTAGGAATTGTTGATTTTTTTTGTCCCCTTATACTTGGCATATTTCTTTTTTTTGGTACCGGGGATTGAACTCAGGACCTTACACTTGAGAGGCAGGTGACGGCACCACTGTGCTAAATCCCTGGGCCTACTTGGCGTATTTCTGATCTAATAGGAAGACTAATTATCTGTAAACCTTGTTTGTTTATGCAGTCTCATTGTGTCCTCGTTGTAACATGCTTTTTATAGAGGAGCTCTATTGGTGCTATAAGAAAACCTGATCGCAGTCTTTGGTTGCCACTCCTCCTCTGTAATCTTTGTGTACAGAGCCACTGTCTCTCGAGGAGGTCTTTTTAGCCTCTTGGGTCTTATGAAGAGTCACATAAATATTATATTTGAAAACTTGCTCTTTCCGTACTTGACCACCCACAAACGATCCCATAAACTGCCTTCCTCTGGAAGTTTATGGGATAGGTAGATGTAGGGGCTTTTCCAAGTGGTTTCAGCACTTCACTTGGTAGGATTTGGGTAATACACCTTTGCTCTATTTCTGGTTATTATTTTATCCAAAACTAGATTTTTTTTGTGGGGGAGGGGCAGGATCTCACTCTATAATTCAGGCTGGGCTTGAACTCATTATGTGGCCCAGGCTGGCCTCAAACTCATGGCAATCCTCCTGCCCCAGCCTCCCAAGTGCTGGGATTACAGGCATGTGCCACCATGCCCGGCTCTAAAACTAGATTTTAAAACTGGACCTATTTCTATTAAAATCTTTTGTTGGTTAGGGTTATAGCTCAGTGGTAGAGAGCTTACCTAGCAACAGCTAGGGGCTGCATATGGCAGAGGAAAACTGGGAGGCTTTCATTTTGAGTAAGTATTCAGTATTGTTTTGTTATTTCCTTCAGTAGAAAAAGTGGGAGGTGAGCTCCTGAATAAAACTGTCAAGAGAAGTTGTCTTTCTGATATAAAACACTTAGCATAACAGTGGATGCATTTTTAGGTTTTTCTTTAGGAAATTTTCCTACCTGTTATTTTTGCTCTCCTGTTTCCTCTGGGTAGTGGTAGGATAGGTGACAGTCTCTGGGAGGGGACCAAAATGATTGTCTTACTAGGCAAGGTGACACATACCTGTAATCCTGGCTACCCAGGAGGCTGAGGCAAGAGGATCACAAGTTTGAGTCAGCCTGGAGCAATATGGCAATTTAGAAAGCTTCTATCTCAAAAAAAAAAAAAAGCCTGGAATTATAGCTCTGTGTGTTCAATGCCTGGCACTGGTGAATAAAAATACTGTTTTCTGTATATGAGTAGTATCAGTATGAAGGAGTCCTGATTTGCAATTTGTGGCATGGTTGAGTAGATGAAATGGAAGTGGTCAGCAGAAGATAAGTCACATCCACGCACTTTCCATGGAAGGTTCCCATTTGGACTGTCCTCTTCAGTGGCAGTGCTGTGGTCTAGATCAGAATCTTTCATATAAGCCTTAACAGCTTACGAAGCAGCAATCTCCACATTGCTCTTCAGAAAGTTTGGGAAGCAGCTCAGCAGTGAGCTGAATTGAAGACAGGTGTTGCTATGCGTGAGACTTAGGCAGGCTTTGAAATGGACTGAGTAACTTATTTTGCTTTCAGTAGCTCATGATGTAGATTAGAGCTACCAAGAATTTTGGAATTATTAAAGAAAACATAGAAAACAGAAAAAACTTTTCAGTGAACAAATGAAAGACTGAATTCAGCAACCTTTTCCCCTCGCGGTATGACTTCCTTAGGTCAGAAGACCTGCCTTCTGGTTCCAAAGTGTCTCATGCTGCTATGGAAACAAAAGAACAGACATCTGTTCAAGAACTTCTGGAAGGTGAATTACAGATTCAGAAATCACCAGAGCCTGAGGTTTTGTCAACTCAGGAAGACTTGTTTGACCAGAGCAATAAAACAGGTATAAAGGATGATTAGTTGTTATAGTTAGCACCTCTTCTCCAGAGATCTAAATTTTTATTTGAGTTCTGAGGCTAATATTTAAGTTAAAAGCACTTTATAGATGTGCTGACTTGTCTGTGATATGGAAGGAAAATGTTTCTGGATAATCACAGAGAAAGGCTTTTGGGGAATGTTTGCTGTGTAACATGTTAACATGATTTTCTCTTTTGGAAATAAAGTTATTGAACAACAACAGCTAATAAGGTAAATTTGGTATTGTGGATAGGGTGGCCATGTTTTCTTCTGTTACCTATGTTTAATGAATCTTCAAATATTAAATATGATAAGTTTTAAGTTTTTCATATTGACTTGGGTAACAGTCTACTTACTCATCTGTTTATTAGTTCACCTACTACAAAAAGGAAGTTAAGGTTTAACAGAAAAGACATAAAACTTAGAAGAATAGAATGGTGCTTGTTCCGTACACTTTTAGTCCCCCAACCCCCTCATTCTGCAACCTCCAAGAGCAGGAAAGCGTCAGCAGTAGTCACCCAGACACAATGTATTTTTTTTTTGGTACCGGGAATCGAAGTCCAGTCCTTGCGCTTGCGCAGCAGGCTGCAAAACCACTGGGCTAAATCCCTGGCACAATGTATTTTTCATGAGGGACAAAAGAAGACTATATTCCTTTACTATTCTGTGATGTAGCTTACTGTGCAAAACATTCAGAAGGTGACCAAAGAGCCTTTCTTTGTTTCCTCGAAACTGTAAGGTTGTGTTTAAGGGACTTCTTTACACTTAGGATGAGTGTAGTTGATACTGTTTGTTACTAAGGTGAAGGGACCAGTAGGAAACTTCATAGTATAAATCAGTATCAGCTGCTCATATTTTCTTTTATTAGTGCATTAGTATTTTCCATCTCCTTTGAGGAGGCCCAAATTCTAATCTTGAAAATTGCTGCATTAGTACCATCCGGTGTCATGCGTATTTTTTTTTTTTTTTTGGTACTGGGGATCAAACTCGGTTGCGCAGCAGGCAGCGAAACCACTGAGCTAAATCCCCGGCCCATGTGCATTGTTTTGACTCCTCCCATGTACATCATGGCCTGAGCTTTACTTCACTTTAGGTAGACCTGGGAATAAAAGGCTCATTTGGTGTTTTATGGAAGCATCACAAGAAAGAAGAGCAGCCAAGCAGAGAAATAAGGATTCTGGCTTTTCCTCTCAAAACTTAGATTATGACAGAAAGGACTCAGGAACTTTTTTCAATAGTTTGTTAAAAAAACCCATAATTTGGGGTGGTTAATATTTACTGAAGATTTGTCTTATGCCATTCCATTAATTGTACTATGATTAGAAAAAAATTTCTGCCCTTAAAACATGGTTGGAAATATGGATATTACTGTTTTTATAGTACTTTTGGTTTTTTTGGCAAATCAAAAAAATAAATGCAACCAGAATTTCTTTTTCTCCCCAGTAGCTTCTGATGGTTGCTGTACTCCTTCAAAGGAGGAAGGTGGATGTTCTCTGACTTCCACACCTGCTACCACTCTGCATGTCCTGCAGCTCTCTGGCCAGAGATCCCTTGTGCAGGAGAGTCTGTCCACGTAAGTAGTCCTTCACAGCTGTGTCTGAGGGCTTGGGCAGAGGTTAAAAGAGCTGAAGTTGCCTGCCAGTCTAGATTCTTAGTAAACCAAAAAGTAGAACTAGGCTTTAGAATTCCTGGGGTAAGAACTCAGTGTTAACAATCAAGGACAGATAGATCTGTTTCCCATATAGAGGCTAACAGTAGATTAAAATTTTCACCGGGACAGAAAATGCCTATTTAGAATGTGTTACACATCCTGAATAAGCATTCTGGTGTTTTATTTTACCAGCATTTCTTCTCAGTTAGTATTATAGGATAGAAAGTAGGTTGTTGGCCAGGGATTTAGCTCAGTGGTTCTGCTGCCTGCCTTGCAAGCGGAAGGTCCCGAGTTTGATCCCTGGTACCAAAAAAAAAAAAAAAAAGAAAATAGGTTGTTATAGTTAATAGTAGTTGAATTTCTTCGTCTCAGTAGTAGGCCAGAGAGATTTGCTCTTTTGTTTTTTTGTTTGTGTTTGCTTTTAAATAAAAATATGTAATCTTTCTAATTAGGCAAAAATGGTGTATTTTTTTATGTCTCAAACCTGCAGTGACATTTTTTAGCACTTGCGCATTCTGTTTTTCAATCATGATGTCCTTGTGTCTGGTCATCCACCTTGCCCTTACTCTATTGAAAAAAAATTCTTATATTAGAAATGTCTCAAGCCAAGTGTGGTGGCACACACCTGTAATCCCAGTACTTGGGAGGCTGAGGCAGAAGGATCTCAAGTTCAAGGCCAGCCTGGGATGCATAGTAAGCTGAAGGCCAGCCTGGACTATACAGTGAGGCCCTGTCTCAAAAGGTCACAAAAGAAAGAATGAATGAAATACCTGGTGTGGGAATAGTTACTCAGTGGTTCTTCCACCCGTCTCAGATTGTTGGGAGAAATGCCGTTAGGTAGTAATCTGAATGACTTAGTTCTGCTATTACAAAGTGAAAACAAATGTGGAAACTATGGTTGTAGTAAAATAACCTGTGGTTCTCTCTTTATATAAAGGAATTCCTCAGATCTTGTTGCTCCTTCCCCTGATGCTTTCCGATCTACCCCTTTTATCGTTCCTAGCAGTCCCACAGAGCAAGAAGGGAGAAAAGGTGAGCACTCTCAGTCTGTCTGTTAATCTGGGGTCAGAAGAGGAGGGCGGGGATGGGCCTTAGTGGAGAGGATGTGTCCAGCATGCCCAGGCCCTGCGTCTGATCCCTGGCTCTGCGCAGAATGAAGAATGTGTGTTTCTCTGTGCTCAGAGCACGGTCCCATGTCCTGTGGGGACCCTGCCTCTAACCTTCAGGAATACGATCTAGTGCAAAGTGTTCTTTAGTACTTGGCTTGGATGCTTTTGAGAGTTTTGTATTGTTGATTCAATTTTTACAAAGGCCCTTAAGGGAAAATTTTTATATCTTTTAAATGAATTAGTATGGTGATGAACTGGATTTTTTACTAGCGGACTACTAGTTTCCAGTAACATGCTAGCATGTTTCTGGTGAGAGGGAAATAGTGATTGCTTTTTATGCTCTTTATAGGTTATGTTTGCTATTGAAAACATTTTATTTTAATTTACTCCTTTTCTCCTTTGAAGACTTAGCTGATTTTTGTACTTTATTTACTTTATTCACAAAGAAAGCCTTTCTTTTTTGACTCACCTTTTATTTTTGGTGGTACTGGAACCCAGGACCTTGCATATGCTAGACAAATGCTCTAGTGCTGAGCTGCGTCCTTAGCCCTTTATATTTTACTTTGAGATAGGATCTCACTAAGTCACCCTGGCTGCCCTTGAATTTGTGCTCCTCCAGCCTTAGTCTCCTGAGCATCTGGGATTACAGGTGCGCGCCACTCTGCCTGGCTTGACTAATTTATCTCAGTTATCTAAACCCATTTTGCTCTACTCTAGGCATCTATCCAGTCATTCAACATATCTGCAAAGCTTATCCCCATAAATTCTGTGATTGTCTTCTTTTTATTCCTTCATGTCAATAATATTATAGTCAGTTTTTATTGAGCACTGAATGTGTGTCAGATACTGTTCTAGGTGCTTCTCTGTGGTTCCAAGTGCCTCTCTACGGTTTTTCTCACTGAATCTTTACAACATCTAAGCAGGAGGTGTCATTTTTGTCCCCATCTTACCGGTAAATGGAGGCATGGGGCTGTTTCTTGTGCGATGTGATGTAGCGGTAGGATTTGGACTTGGGTGGTTGCCTTTTGATTGTGTGCTCTTGTGTGTCAGGTACATGCTGCCTATTATATCCTGCTGTCTTTACTTTAAATAACTGCAATTTGGAAATACAGTTAGCTGTTTTTCAAGTGTAATTTATCTATGCAGAATGAGACTTCTGCCTCAACCTTATGTCTCCTGCTGTTTTCTTTTCAAATCACTTGTAGTATCCAAGTAGACTAATGTCATTCTAGTCATAGCATGATGAGTGACATCTTCAATAAAAAGGTAAGTCCATCCTACAGAAACCCTGTTAATGCAAGTTAAGTTTGATTAATTCTTTTTTTTTTTGGTACTGGGGATCGAACTCGGGTCCTTACGCTTGCAAGGCAGGCGATGGAGCCACTGAGCTATATCCCTGGCTTTATGCATAAATATGAAAAAGTATTTTTGCACAGTTGGCATCGTATTATGTATATGAGTCAGTTTTTTTCCATGTAGCATATTTTTCATTGTCAGTGTATTTCACATTTAATGCATTTGCTTAATATGTGTATCAGTGTTTGTGAGACTCTATATACTTTTTATTGGTACTGGGGATTGAACTCAGGACCTTGTACTTGTGAGGCAGGTGCAGTGCCACTGAGCTAAATTGCCGGCCCTATGTACTTTTTATATGTATTTGGTTTTTGCTGTCTTATTAACCTGAAGTAGTTTCATAGGTAGTGCCTCAAGTAGTGGGTCTTTAATGTGTTTTGTTGTGACAAAAAAAATGTCACAAGGTGTGATGCAGATGCTAAGCACCACTGTGGCAGTGTATGAAAGGCCTGCAGTGCCAGATCCCCAGCTAGAGGAGATCAGTGTGTGAGGTAGAGACCAGCTGAGCAGCAGGGCAGGTACAGAGGCTAGGTGTGGAGATGGGACCCCCGTGAGAGTTTCTGCATGGCCTGGAGGAAGCCTGGTTGGGAGGAAGCTGTCAGACCGATGAGAAAGCACACGTGTTTTGTTTGTTCCCTCCGGAGTAATTTATGTTGAGTTTAGTGACTTCTTAGTACTTCGACAAATTGGTGCTGATTGATACTGATAGATTTTTTCCCTTCATTTTTAGTTGTATTGGCATTCATCTTTCTACCCTTAGTGGTTGTTAATGAAAATATAACGAATTCATAAATACATAGGTATTTATTCAGCATGGTGAGCAAATTCACTGCCTTTCAAATCCTGAAGCAGAATATGTGGGGGTTAAATTAAGTGGCATTTATCTGGGCAGTCCCACATAAAATGAGAAAATAAGCTCTGTATAGTTAGGAACGGGGCTGAGGAGCCAGCTAAAATACCCTAAATGGGTGTGTGTCCCCCGGTTTTCTTCTTTGATTAGTGAATGTTTGCAGCACCTACTGTCCATAGTCACCGTGCAGAGTTGGTACGTGCACGTAACTCATCTTAATTCTTTATATATCTCTGTGCCCTTCTTTCCCTCCCTCCCTCCCTCCCTCTCTCCATCTCTTGGTCCCCTTCCTGTTTGCAAAACTCAAATTTTAATCTAATTAGAAGCATGGTTACTCCTTTTACTCCCAGAAAGAAAATATTACTAGGACCTAATCTGTTAGTATTTTGTTGTTTTTCTGAAAGTTAAAGTCATTATTATTACTATTATTTTTTTTGAGACAGGGTCTTGCTATGTAGTTTAGGCTGGCCTTGAACTCATGGTGCAGCCCAGTTTGGCCTTGAACTCATGGCACTCCTCCTGCCTCAGCCTCCCAAGTGTTGGGATTACAGGAGTGTGCCATCAGCCTAAAGTCATTATTATTATTATTTTTTGGTACCTGGGATCGAACTCAGGACCTTGCCCTTGTGAGGCAGGCCTGCTGCCACTCAGCTAAATCCTCAGCCCTTAAAATCATTTTTTTAAGAGAAGAAACTTGTGTATAATTATTGTTAGTGGGTTCTGGAACATGAATAATATTGACAAGTGACTATTTTTCTTGTTTTAAACCAGATGAGCCAGTGGATATGTCAGTCCTGTCTGAGGGAGTGGGGGAGCCTTTTCAGAAGAGACTCCAAGTCAGCGATCCAGTGCAGGTAGAAAACACGCCGCTTCCACCTGCGGGTGCCGTGTCCCCGCAAGCCTTGACGCCCGTTTCTCAGAGCACCCCAGTGCTTACCCCTGGCTCCCTTCCTGTCCCATCGCAGCCTGAATTCTCACATGTGAGTATTGTAAAAAGTCTGTTTTCTCCTAAAGTCTTTTTTGTTGTTGTTGTTATTTTATTTTATTTTTTTTTTGGTACCGGGGATCGAACTTGGGACCTTGTGCTTGCAAGGCAGGTGCCAGAACCGCTGAGCTAAATCCCCAGCCCTTTGTTGTTGTTATTAAGCAGCTTTATTGAGGTATAATTTATAAACCCTAAATTCAGCCATTTTCGTGCGTTATTTAGTGATAGTTTGGGGAATCTGCAGAGCTGTGTACCTGTCATCACCGTCAAGTCTAGAACATGTTCGGTCCCCTAACACCTTGGTTCTTTTTGGTCCTGGACCTTGCACTTGTGAGGCAGGTACGGGTGCCACTGAGCTAAATCCCCGGGCCTCGGTACCATCTCACTACACTTTTGATGTTAAATTTTGGGCTATATCTTTAAGCTTTTTGAAAATGCTACTGTGAAATGACTGTCATTTTGTGAAGTTGCTGTCATTTTTGTCTTTCCGCATGCCTGCTTTTTTAGAAAAGGAAACCATTTATAGCAGACATACAGCTTGCATCTTTTCCCTGCTAACCTTTGTCATAATAATTTTTCTTATTTATTTATTTATTTATTTATTTATTTATTTATTTATTTATTTATGGGTACCAGGGATCGAACTCGGGTCCTTGTGCTTACACAGCAGGCAGTGAAACCACTGAGCTAAATCCCTGGCCCTGTCATATAATTTTTAATGTTTTATTGTCTTTATATTATCCTTTCAAAAACTGTAAGGGCCAGGGATTTAGCTCAGTGGTTCTGGAGCCTGCCTTGCAAGTGCAAGGTCCCGAGTTTGATCCTTGGTACCAAAAAAAACAAAACAAAAACAAAACCCTGTAATATTTCTGAGTAGATGTACATACAGTATCTCATTACTCTTTTCTCATTCTTGCACTGAGAACATCAGGATGAGTTTTAGGTGTTTTTTGGTTTTGTTTTTTTGGTTGTTTTGGAGATAAGGTATCATTATGTAGCCTAGGCTGATCTTGAACTTGCAGTGATCCTCCTGCTTCATCCTCCTGAGTGATGAACTACAGATGTGTGCCGCCATGCCTGTCTGATTCTTAGGGTTTTTTTTTTTCCCATACTGGAGATCAAACTCAGGACCTTGTGCTTGCCAGGCAGAAACAGCACCACTGAGCTAAATCCCTGGCCCACCCTTTAGGTTTTTTTCAAGTTTTTGATATACATTTTTTTCTAAAAGCAAAAAAAAAAACTAATGCCTTATTTGCATAATTTGAAAGAAATGAAATGCAACTTTCATAGTGAGTTGCAGGTCCTTAGGTGCATCTAAATGACTATATTGTATATCCAATCTAAACGCTTGTTTTTAGGCCTGAGGATGTTACTCAGTGGTACAATGTGTTCCCAGCATGTGGAAGAACAGCTCTGGGTTCAGTCCCCAGTACTGAGGGACAAAAAGGGCCTGTTCTTTTTTTTTTTTGGTACCGGGGATCGAACTTGGGTCCTTGCGCTTGTGCAGCAGGCGGTGAAACCACTGAGCTAAATCCCCAGCCTCGTTTTAAGGAATTATTAGCAGGAATGTGGTAGAATGGTGAAGAACAAGGACTGCAGAGTCAGGATTTCCTGGAGCCACTCCTGGTTCTGCTGTTACTGTTGTGACCAATCAGAACTGAGCCTCCTTTTCCTCATCAGTCAAATGGGGATTTAAAAATTTATTCTATTTTATTTTTTTATTTTGCTGTACTGGGGATTGAACCCAAGGCCTTCACACTGAGCTACATCACCAGCCCTTTAATATTTTGTTTAAATTTTGAGATAGAGTCTCACTATGTTGCTAAGTTGCCCAGGCTGGGCTCAGATTTGCAGTGCTCCTGCCTCAGCCTCTCAGGTGCTGTATTAGAGGCACGTGCCATGATACTGGATCCAGCTCAGATGGGGATATTGATGCTTTCTACTCTCTGGGATAGTCATGAAGGTTAAAGGAGTTGATATGTATAAAGTCTCTAGAATGATGCCTTGTATGTGGTAAATACTGCATAAGGTATTTATTGTTGGCAATAAAGAGTTACACAGAGTTGAAATAGATGTTTAGCTACCATCTCTCTTTGTCTTTAGCTTTTCTGTTGCTATAAAATTATACATGAGCATAATACAGAACAGAAAAGCTGTTGGGATTAACGGAGAAGTTGTAAGCACTGACATAAAGCACCGGAAGGAATCTTCTGGAAAATGTAGCTGATGCTAACGACAGTAGTTGCAGATGTTTTCCAGTGAGGAGGTAGGACTTCGATGAGAGTGAGTCTTTGCAGAAGTGTCTGTATCAGTGAGAGGAAACGCTGGCTGCATAGAGATCCAGCTTTTTGAGGAGCCACACACTTGCTGGGGGAAATTGTCCTGCCTCGGCGTTTATCACATACCTTCCGCAGCAGCTAGAAACCCAGCAGTGAAAATATGATATGAATGAGTAATTCTAAGTGTACTTCAAAGATTTTCTGGAACCTAAGATGACTGATCACATTTCTTTGTGATCATATTTAAAGATGTCAGCAGTACAAGTCCATGCCGCTTGGAAAAAAACACTCTCAAGAGGACTTTTACAACATAGCTTTTTCTTTTAGTTTTTTTTTGGTACCGGGGATCGAACTCAGGACCTTGCACTTGCGAGGCAGGTGGCGGAACCACTGAGCTAAATCCCCAGCCCTCAACATAGCTTTTTCATTAAGGGTTTGGTTTTAGGTGATTAATAAGCATTTGTAAACCAAAAAAAAAAATTAAGTTAAAAGTCTTTCCTCACCTCTACCCAAAGATGCTTTCAGTTCCCTTTTTTTTCCTGCCCTGGGGATTGATCCCAAGGCCTTTATACTGAGCTATATCCCCAGGCTTTTAAAATTTTGTCTTTTAATTTTTATTTTGAGCTGGGCGTGGTGGTGTATGCCTGTAATCCTAGCACTCAGGAGGCTGATGCAGGATTGGTGCAAGTTCAAGGCCAGCCCGGGCTACATAGTGGGTTCAAGAACAGCCTGGACTATGCAGTGAGTGAAACCCTGTCTCAAAAAACAAAACAACAACAAAAAGTCTACTTGATTATTATTTTGAGGCGGGGTCTTGCTAAATTGCTAAATTCTCCAGGCTTGTCTTGAATTTGTCATCCTCTTGCCTCGGCCTTCCAGAGTACTAGGATTATAAGGCGTCACCCCTGGCATACACTTTCAGTACTTTTTTCTCTTGTTTATCTCCATAATTGTACCTAGCATGATTATATTTTCATAAATCCTGTTTTAAAAAATGTGAGCCATGTCCTTGTCTTCCAGGTATAGTTCCTTCATCATTTGGTTTAGATTGCTGCTGAATTACCAGTATGACTAAGCACTAATCACACCAGAGCTTGTGGAATGTTAGGGTTATTTTACCTTGTTTGCATAATTTCTTGTCTCTGAAATTGTTGTCTTTGAAATTCTAACTTCTCAAATCAATCCTAGACTCTTCACTAATTTTAAGAACCTCCTTTTAGGGTGCTCTAGGACCTCAAGCTGTGTGTTTCATCTTTCTGGAGGAAACCGGTTTGCAGTATCCTAATTTCTGATTGTTTCTTACTGTCACTGTGCCTGTGCATGGCTTCATCTCCCGTGGTTGTCGGCCCCAGAGCCCCTCTTTACCTTTGTATTGGAGTCCTCTCAGGCTGCATACTTTCTTCTCTCTTCTTCCTCCTTCCTTCTCTGTTTGCGGAAGAGACTGTGCAGAATCTCTTTTATTTCTTTAAATGTTCAGTAGAATTTGCCAGTGGAGGAAAAATAGGCCTAGACATTCTCCTGTGGGAGGTTTTAAATTATGAGATCAACCTTTTTATTTTTCGGAAGTCTCCCTATGTAGCCCAGCCTGGTTTCCAACTCCTGTCTTAAATGATCTTCGTGACTCTCAAATAAAACAGCCCCCCTCCCCCCCCATTGAGCCTGTGCCCTCACCAAACTGCGCCTCCAACTCACTGTTTGCCAGGTCACCTGTCTTCTGCTTGGTGTGCCTGTTTGCAATGGAGGGCATTCTCTAGGAGCCTTCATTCCACTCATACTTGACTTATAGTCCAGTTTGTAGAAATATTAACATTCAGGTTGGTAATTTTTTTTTTTTTTTTTT